AACTTCTGACGATGCCTGACGAAAAAACCTTGATATTTTCCAGGGTAAAAGCAACCTCTAATAATTCTTCATCACAACGGTTTCTTGGTGTGCTACAGGCTACGTGCTAGTTATTTGCTCGAGAGGATGTCCATGAAGACAGCAATTAGCGATATTCGCTTGGGAAAAGAGGGCCGTTGATCAAGCGCGCACGTCCTCGGGAAATTACAAAGCTCGTGATCGGGGTCGGTCCAGCAACTGTTATGTATTTGACTTATAACTGGACTCACGCTCGCACGAAAGGAAGATGTAGACTAAGATCTTAAGGCTGCATGCACAGATGAGAACGAGCATGTTTTGCGTGACTAGGTTCGGTCAGTAACCTCCCCTCCAATATTAACACATGCTGCGGGGTCATAACGCTCCATAATTCGAAGAGAATGTACCTAGCAGAGCGACACACAAGCACTTTTTACCATTGTGGTCAAAGTGAAAGAAGCGAGCAGTGCATCGTTAGTCCTGAGATCTTGAGATCTAATCTTTGATGCATCTCAAGTTTCGCACAGTCGGGCCGGAGTTATTTGATCACTATATCCCCTGCAACTTAAGCCTCGGTAAGTAGTATTCGCACATGTCCCTGTCTAGCTTAAGGATTCAACCGTGGAAGAGTGAAACTGGCGAATCGCGAAGGCAAATTATTTGTGGGTCATGACACGCGCTTAGCGCGTTATTTGGTAACATCAAGGAGATCCTATATGGGTTTTGTCCGCGGTGATATCAGGGTGCTACATTCGTCGATGTGGTACTATAAACGGAACGACAACATCAAAACTACGCGTTCCGCTTGTCTCTCAGTCGGGGGGCTCGGTGGTTTGGGTTATTTTCTGATACAGTATAGGAATTCCGCCACAGGGTATCTGTCTACTGGATATATGCTGTAGCTGTCTTCTGAACAAATACACCGAGTTGCTAACCAGAGTTTCTCTCCTGAATCATCAGACCTCGTATTCCATTGTATGCACTGTTTTCCTTTTGTGAATTTCTTGGAATTTTCGTTGAAATTCCCTAAAAGTGAGGAGGCATCAAACCGCCTGATTTCCGATACCGGACTGACCTAGTTTAGGCATACAATAAGGCCTATACGTTGTATCTCAGTTACACTCCGGAACTAGACTCTTATCATTACCAGCAAGTATGTCCCATAAACCGAGAATCCCGGCGTACAACCCTTTACTGGAACCGAATCGGAATCGCTCCTTAAAGAAACTTTGTACAGCTGTGAAACAAAATCTATTTGGTATATGTGTTTCTTTGTCCACCTGAGTCGATGTCGGCACTGATAACTACGACATGCCGCCTCGGATTTCTCGCCCATTGAATATGTCCCCAGTTCCCAGCTCCGAAGCTGAGGCTATGCCGATTCAATCTGAGTTTTCAATGTCTTCTTGATCGAGCGGAGTGTGGTTGCGCATCTACATGGTTTGACGCAGCATGCACTGTTCCCTGGGATGGTATGGACCAGCGCCGCTCCTCGCTGATCTCGCAGTCGATGGAAGCATTTGATATTCCCGCCCGTACTCCGCGAGCCACGAAGCTCCACTCAATAGCGTTGTTACGCACCAGCTTATCGACTTCTTCATTTTCCGCTTCTCATCGATTCTCCTCCATGGCATGAGATTATTGTCCCACGAAATAGTCGCCATCTGTACGAGAAGAAAGATGCCCGATGGAATACACCCACTCCGACTGTCGCCTGTGAGTTTTTACTGAATTATTCTGCCAGTTGCGGGTCAGCCGCCTAGATGAAACCCAACAAATTTCAGAGAAGACGTATCTGGATCGTTGTGTATCCACAGTTCCGGATATGACGCTCGCCGTCGGTCGAATAGAATTACGCCGGTATTCAGTACAAAGTATAACAATTGAGAAGTCACGATGGTGAGGTACACCTATGTGGTCTTCAACGTACACTAATTAGCCATGGCACTCGATGCCGGTTCGCTCTCAAAATCCATAGTGGAAAAACCTCTTCTACGAGACGTGTTATTTCACACCCGAGAACCAGACATGCGGCGAAAGCAATGTAGGTCCCAGGGAATCAAGTACATGAAACGGGTCGGAGTAGTTGGCGAGCGAGGTGAGAACCATCTTGGCGGATTTGTCATGTGTTTTAAGATACTCCGTACAATGGAATTAGGGTACCTCGTCCGTGTATAATCTTCAGGGACGTGACGTTCGGCTGAAAACCGTCTAGCACGAAATCTCCTCAGAGAAGGCTTTTGACTATACTAGAAAATTTTGTCAGAATTCGGAATGCGCGGGTAGGAGGGCGTACGACCATGTTTATGGACATCTTGCTGAGTGGAGGATAGCCCGGGGGCGTCGATTCAACAACGCAATAAGATGTGAGAAAGGCGAGATTTGAAAGGCTCGTCAGCGGTCGATCGAGTACGTGATAAGTACCAGCCTGGAAATGGGAATAGAGAAAATTCGCACAGAGTCCGCAGGATGGGAAGGAACATAAGGCTCTTTATGAAACATCCCCAAGGAGAAAGCAGAGGGATAATGAGCCATCATCATCGGAGGGGTGCGACGCTGGCTTGGCCAATTTTTGCGCAGGGTCCAGCGTGAAGTCCTAGCAACCCGAGTGATACGAAAAGAGTGATAACGATTAAGTAGCAAGCAGACGATAGAATCCAGCCTACGAACAGTCACTATAGGCAACGCGTGCTGAGAGGGCGAAGGACTTTTACAAAGGGTGGCTTGGAGATAAGTCCACCCCGAAGGGCCAATACGTGGACGACAAGAGTTTCAAGTGTGGAATCTGCCATTCGTCTGATTTATCCAAGAGCCACGTACTCGGAACAGTATCGACAGAGTCGAGAGACGCGAGGGCCCCGTCGCGTTATCGAAGCGAAGAATAGAATGGTCGTCAGTAGTCTAATCTTGGTCCTTCGGATAATCCCGAGATACCTCCGTCCGATATCTGGTTGATCGCAAACGACCACCCTGAGGATTCTTGCCACCCTCATGGAGTACACAGAGAGCGTCGAAAAAGCCAGCTCATATCCCGTCGGCCATAAGTCTCACCATCGCCTTGACTAAAGCAGAAACAAGTTGTGAAGCGACTTGCCACGACGTCATCACTTCTCAATTCTCATTGGTTGCATCACTCTATATCCAATCACGAGCGAGCGGCTTACTCGGACGTACGCAAACAGACTGGGCTTATTTGTGACTCAGAGTCAATCTCGTAGTCCTATTCTGAAGATAGACGACATCCCCCTTGGTGCTAAATGCGAATGCGTCGAAATTTTTATTGCTCTGGCTTAGGGTGACGTCTGCAAGGTTGGTCATCCGCCCCCCGTTCATTTACGCAACCCTACTACAATCACGATCACCGTCTACTGCGCCCCTCCCACGCGTCTCTTTTGTGTTGGTCATGCATGCCTACGGGTTTCTACGTGCCGTTGGTGCCCACACTCTATTATGCTCCTTTATCTAGCTAGAGCCAAGACTCACTACCGCCTCCTCAAGTATCTCTACTCAATCCGGAGACTATGAGCGCTCACAGAAAAGTCGCACACCACCCGCAGTATGCCGAGTAGCTTCATAGCCGAGAGCGGGACACTTGTGCTGCGACAACGGTACGACCGTCTTCCTGGCTCTCGACCAGCACGCAAAATGCTCCCGCCACCACACTTCCCAAGCCACCAGGCCCCTTCTCTGATCGCGATCGCGGGGACAAGAGTGGAGGCGTTGCATTGGCACACATCCTGACGCCGCTCGCGGTACTAACCCCCACACCACCACGATTAAATTGATTCCCAGGGCCCAAAACCATCGTGATGATCCGACGAGTCAATAGAGAGATAATCGTCATCTCTTCTGTTCGCTCTGTCATCTATCTGTCTATCTGCTCTTCCACGCGCTGACTCACGAACGACTGCGAATCTAGAATCGGAGAACGGTGTGGAAGCTAATGTCCGGGGGCGCACTCTAATCCAGCTAGTACGCCTTGAGGCTGCTGCGTTCCCCCCGAGTCGCTCACGGTGGCCGTAATGATAAGCCTTCCCCCCCCTACTCAGATAGAAGCGATAGCGCGGTGGCAACAAAGCCCTGTCAAGAAATGATGCAAGTATCACCAATGGCCATTTAGTTACCGAAGCGGGTCTCGGGCGGTTTCATGGGATTCCACCGTGGCGCAGGTTCGGGTTCGCGAAGCACCCCCCCCCACCCCCGTTTCATATCCCCCGTCTTCTAGTGGTTGTTGACACAAGGAATACTTGGAATCTGGATACTACTGCATGTCGGCGAACTATGTCATGTGTTGGTGTGTTCGTTTCCAAGTTCGGCGATCATCGAGGAGAGAAGATTAGAAGACGCGCGCGACAAGTTCGAAATACTACTATTGGGTTCCTGGGTCTGGTACGTGCATGTGGGCTCGAAGCTTCACGGCCAATCGCAGTCTTGGCATGGAAAATCTGCTCATCCACGTTAAATTTCTAGAAGCCGGTGAGAGCCTTCTTGTCCTAATTTTCCACTTAAATTTTCTGATTCTTTCCTGGGTACTGTGTTCTCTCCTCGTCATTATATTTGCCGACTACCGAGCATGCTGAACATCGACCTCTCCGCCTACATATTTTCCCGAATGCAGATAAAATAATCTCACCTCCTTCTGGGGCACGTCCCCGCGGTCTCCACGAACACGATCTGCTACCATTTCTCGTCACATATATAGGAAATAGAGGGATCGAGGGTCTTTTTCATCGTTCTCCCCAGATAGAATCATTCATGTCTAAATCTCTTTCATGTACCCGCCCTTCCCATGCCGTTTAGCTATTTCCAACTTTCCTTACCGCTCTACCCCATCTACCTTCCAGGATTTAACGTCTCCCTACTACGGTCCTTTTTCCTCTTCATTGATTCATATTTACCACCGGGGATGCAGACGAGAGAGCCAATTATACGAATTGCTTACCTATGTGATCATGTAAATAACGATGAATAGTCATTCGTCCTCCCTCTTAGCTCAGTTGGTAGAGCGCGTCACTAGTATATGATAGTTCGTATGTGATGACGAGGTCAGTCGTTCAAGTCGGCTAGAGGGAACTTAGTCGATGATATGTGATTATACCTTTTGTCGGTGACTCTCGTTTTGCCGCAAGCTCCTGCCAACTGTGGCACAAAGGCCAGAATTTAGAAACTTGGAAGAATCCAGAAATGATAATTATATGGGCGTAATAGCGTACGAAAAATCGGATGTAGGCAATTTTGTTGCTTGTATTCAAGTCGGCTGCAATCTTCTCGCAAGTTGAGGTTTTTTTATACACAAGATGACTGCTGGCGATAGTCTGTGAAGAAGACCAATGCGGCGATATTTGAATATGACATTTATATCATGAAGCGTCGTCCTCCTGGAATCAGACTTTCGTCCTCAGAGCATCTTACAAACGACATGCATACCTTCAGAAACATCGAGCCGGCTACTGAGTCCTAACCTCGAAAATCAAACTTCGAATTCACCTCATGGGTCATGAAACGGAGATGATGAACAACGTAAAGCAGCTGAACTAGAGGGTGAAGAAATGCGGTCTACCACAATAATGTCGGCCCGTCGCCAATTCATTTAAGCATCTGCCGGTGTATAGAAAATCACCAGACTTGCGGGCGGGACACAAACTTGCAATCTACAGTCATACACCGGTCACTTAGACCCCCCCAGTCATGTTAGACCCTGGCCTGAAACTCGTCTTCCATGCATTTTCTAAGCCTCAAAAAATTCTTAAAAATAGTTTATAATATTTAATTACTTTCTTGATGCTTGGTCTTTGTTTTATGAAGTGTTTTACCAGGTTCTGAGGCATTCTCGCTTCAATCAATATCGATTTCCTTATTAGGATATGTTACATAATGTAATCAAGTTAACAATATTCATGCATAAAAAACATATTCCAACAGCCAATAAACCCTCCAGTGAATCTCCAGAACAAGTTCACAGTTATAGCAGCTTGAATAATGATGATACCTATAAAGAGAGATGATGTGGCCTGATTTTGGACTGGGGTCTAAGATGACCGGGATTGCCTTTTTTGGACACTCACCAAACTCATCCTCTGTAACGATCATTTCTCAATGTATAGCTTTGGCCCTTTTTTTCAGACTCAATAGATTGTACTAGTATTCATTGAGTAAAAAAAGTTTTAGCCATTTCATCAAAAAAATATTCCAGCCATCAATTAGTGATTTGGGGTCTAAGTGACCGGTGTATGACTGTAATTACCGTCCGATTTTTGTACGCGATTACCCCAAGGAAACGAAAGAGTGGACTTTTGAATGGGATCATGGTGAAATTGACCGGTGTAACGGCAGGAGCGATGTACGGACGACGGAGGTTGTATATTTACAATTAACTTTTTCAAAGCGATCGATCGCATCGCAAAGTTGAAAGATCGGCGAGTGGAGAAGTCGCGATAGTAAATGTATGGAAACGATCTACGCTGTAGCCTTCTTAGCTCAGTGGTAGAGCGTGTCACTCGTATGTCATGACAAGGTCAGTCGTTCAAGTCGGCTAGGAGGCATGTGTTTTTGCGCCCACCATCTATAAAAAACTACATTTAAAATAACATTGTTACTTTTACTCCAACGAGAGAAAGAAACGCAGGCGAACGAACAAGAAAAGGACGGTCCAAGTAATCGTGTGTGTGAAAATAAACTAGCCTTCTTCTTTCTCGACGACACCTCCTTCATCGCCTCCAGCACCTGTATCCCGCTCCCAACTCGTGGACGGCCTGCTGCCGCCAGGACCCCCGTTACTCGTGCTCAAAAAGTCGAGCCACGCGCCGTCGACTCTGCCTTGAGTGGGACTATGTGTCGGGGCGGGAGGTGCTTGTGCGTTCGTCGGAGCATGTATGGGCCAATCGAAGGCTCCGGCTGCTCCGCCTGGTCCCTGCTGAGCCACCAGGACGAGCCGGGCCTGCCATGGTCGTCAAACAGGCCAAAGATCTCGGTGCCCCCGCGGGACATGGATGCGCTAAGAGGGTAGCTCGCGTATCGCCTCTCGCCTGCGAATTGGGCAGGCGTAGAGAAGCTCCCACCGCTTCCTCCTCCTCCTCCTCCACCGCCGCCGCCGCTGCCGCCACTGTAAAAGGGGGCGTGGTGGTACTGCGTGGAGGGAGGAGGGTAGAAGCCGCCTTGGCCTGCGCCGCCTCCGCCCTGCGCCCTCCACCGCCCCCGCCAGAGCCGGATCCAGAGGACGAACGGCTGTGCATGCCAGGACCAGAGACACTGGGCGGGGAGAGACGCTGCTTCTTGTGGGGATTCGGATTGGGGTGGGGGTGACGGAGGGAGGAGATGGGGATGGACGAGGACGACGCTGATTGCTGAATAGGCGTCTGGGGGATGGGCGGGGGCGGTATGGCCATGGCGCGGGGGGGCGGGGGCGGGATGTGGGAGTGGTGGGACGGGTGGTGCTGCTGGTGCGGGTAGTCGAGCTGTCGGGAGAAGGAGTGGGTCAGTGACGGAAGGGCCAGATCAGACGCCATGGCGACAGCGAGCACGGCGTGGTGGCCATCGTCGCGCACGACGCCGGAGCGCAGAGTGGATACGCTGACTCACCTCGCCCAGGTCAGCCGCGCCGACGGGTCTGAGTCGCCCGCTGCCCCTGCGCTTGGACGGCACGGACGACACGACCTCGTCCTCGTCCTCGTCCTCCTCTTCGTCGATGACCTTGACCGCGCCAGAAAAGTCGACGGGCCCACGCGTGTCCTTTTCGCCCTCGTACTGCAGGCGTCGTCAGTAACCCCTATACCACCAAAAGAAACCTACACGCAAATGCCTCTGGACGATATCCCTGGTGTCGCCGGAGCAGTACTCGTACAGCTTCAGATGATGCCCCGGGCGTTCCTCTATAAATAGACGAGCGTCAGCCGAGTGCGCTTGGCAGCCCCAGCCGCGAACACGCACCAAAGATGATCACCGCAACGTCCACACTGCACAGCACCCCCAGCTCGTACGCTTTTTTGAACAGCCCATTCTTCCTCTGGCGAGCGAGCCAAAAATAAAAAAAACAGAAATGCCAAGAACTTTATTAGTCTCGTGTCGGGACAAAAATAGCAGCGACCGTTGGGATAAACAAAGATGGGACGGGGGACAGGCGCTCGCGAGCGTGGGGATGGAGGGAAGGGGCGGACACTGATTCGAGCGTACCTTTAGAAAAGTCACCGACCGGTTTCGTTCATGCTACACCCGCACCCAAAAAAAAGTCCATCAGCGCCTCATATCCACCAATGGCCCACACTGCGACTCACAGTAATCGGCTGTATCTCAATCTTTCGGCGTCCCATGGCGAGCGAGGTCTTGCAGAGAACAAGGTGGTGGTGCGGTACGAGGTGGGAAGTTTGTCGCCCTCTCAGCCCTTGGGTATGTATTGCACTGCCGACATGCCGCACACAAACACCCCCAAATACCATCTCGGTGGCGGTCTTATTGCTCCCGGCGATCGGGTTCGACGATTTCGGATCTCATTTGTCTTTTCGATCTCAGTCAATGACCGGAGCACTGGGATCAATCCATCAACGTGGCCTGTAACCCACTATTTATTTTTTTCGCCCCCTCCTTCTTATTACTTACAATGCACCCTCGACTCTGCCTGTCCCCCCGGCCGTAATCTCCGCCCCACCCGGCCCGCCCCGCAATAAACCCACTTTGGGCTTCTCGACTAGGAATCATCAAGCCCCCGGGATGTCGTCACTGTATCGTCGGGTGTTTACCTAACAGCGCGCCCAGCTTCGCGTCCGACCCTCGACTCTTTCGCCTGACCGTACAAATCACGGAATCCTCCAGTTCGGACGCGTCGAGATACGGAAGCCGCACCTACCACATACCAGCCGCGGGAGAATACCTCTCTTTTCGGCTCGACCCTCCCATTGGCTCTTTGTCTCCCCATCGCTATTGGCCCGTCCATCCCCGTCTCCTCATTGGCTCCCCCCTTCCTTACTCGCGCATTCGCATTTGTATTTTCCTTGCGTTCCAGACTCTCCTCCACCGTCTCTTCATTTCCCAGTCCTTCTCCCTGCCCTTTTTTGCTATCCCCGGGCGGTCATCGCTAAATCCTTCTGCCTCCAGCTCGCTCTCTATCCCATCTCGTGCGGAGGCCTCGCCCTTTCCTCCTCATCTGCGGCACCGTCCACCCCACCAGACATCGGCTCCGTTACACCCGTGGGTCCTCGCCTCTTCCTTAAACGCCCAACGTAACGTCCCCCTCGCTCAGTCCCTGCTTGTCTCTCCCTCGCCCTTTCCCGAAACATCTTACGTTCACAGACCTTTTCTCTTCATCGTTTCCGATAGCCCCGTCCCCCGCCAGCCCCTCGCCCCTCTTCTCTCGCCAAAACACATCTCCCGGCTCGTATATCATTACGTCCCCCCCCCACCCCTCCCTCCCGCGGTCGAGATCCCTCGCAACAATCAATTTTCCCTTCCCTTCCAGCCCACGTTCATTTCCACTCCACTCTCTCTTTTTTCCTACTCCGAAGCGAAGCGCCACTAACTGCAGGTAAGCCTAGCACGTGAAGCCTTCGAGCCACAATTTACGACAAGATCTTGTTGGCGGCTGGACGCTGAAGATGATACACATCGCTCTCCTCCGCCACGAGCAAGGACCGATTATCTGCATCGTGGGTGATCTCCAACAACAGCCTCTTGGCGACAGGTAGAATGGCGAGGCGTTTAGCGTGGAGGCGTAGGCCCAACCGATGACGTCCTATTTTTCATACCAAGTACACACCACGTCGCGCGTCGAACTCTATTATATAACCGCGAAATAATAAAATATTTTTCTTTGCATACATCCAGCAGTAACGCGTTTTAACCATCGCTCTCTAGTCCTAGTGTACATTTTAAAGAACGCTACCCTGTAAAAAAATTGAACGATGAATACAAAAAAACAGCAAGCACCCCAATTCCCTTTAGCCGACTTGAACGACTGACCTCCTCATATCTGATAATTATACCTCCTGATACTAGTGACGCGCTCTACCAACTGAGCTAAGAAGGACCACCCCCACATTCCCCTCCCCTTCCCCTCCCCCTCCCCCTTTCCCTCCTTCCCGCCCCCACACGACCCTGCCATCCCCATCCCCATCCAATTCCCTCCCTACCAAATCCACCCGCACGCACCACCCCTCGTCAAACGCCACACGCCGATCCCCCCAAAAATAAACACCCCGGGGCAACGGAGAAGATCGAACATGTTTATAGGCTCCGAGGGGTTTGGTTATAACGCCAGTGTCGTAAAACGAACATTCGTTGTGGAAATGGGGGGCGGGCCCGACAGTGACTGACCGGCAATTGTAATTTAGGGGAGCTGAGGCATAGGCAGGCACTTTTTGCCTTGAATGGCGGTGACGCGCCGTAGATCATTTTGGCGGACTGGGTCACAGGACCACCGACGATGCCCCTCCGCCCCACGTTTTTCGAACGCTACACTCTACATCCAAATCTCACATCTCAACAAACACAACTCGTCCACAGAGCCTGAGAGTTCCCGGAAGAACTAACCAAGACTAGTAAAACAAATCCCCCAGGTTATCTCTTCTCCCCAAGGATGCACCGAGGAATCGACGAGACTCTCAAACTACAGAGCGCGTATCAGTATGAGAGCATTCGCGCAAATGGAGAAACAACCGTGTCCCGTGGGTAGGGGGGGGGATTGGTAAGTCGCCCCCAGCCATGATAAGAGAGAGGCTCGACCAACAAAAAACAGGGGCTACACGGTAAATGAACAATCTCCCATAAAACCACCGCGTTAATAAAGGACAACTTACTCACGTTCCTTCGGAGGGGGGGTGCTCCCCGCCGGACTGACACTACATATCTCGAGGTAGATCACTAAGCGATCCCTTACACCCCCCTCCCGGAGGACACCACCAAGTTCGAAAAAGTCCATCCAACCTAAGGCTCGCACACACCCGGACCGGTCATCCTCCACACCAGCAAAATATCAAAACTGGAGGTGTGAACAAAATTAGCGCGCGCGCGCACCCGGAAATAATAATAGACGTCGAAGGGGCGTCCAATTCCGGAGCGGGGAGGGGTAGGGAGGAGGAGGAGGGAGTAAATATACATTCCAACCGCAGCCGCAGTCACACCCAAAGATAGAACAACGCAATATAAATATAAATATAAATATAAATAAAATAAAGAAGAAGCCCCCGCCCCTGTGTGTGCGTGGGTGTGCACCCATCAGACTTTGCAGGGGTCCGTTGATAGCTCACACCATTGATGGCGCTGACCGTCCGTCAAAACCTCAGGTAGGTTACCGGTATGCGGGGGCGGGCGGGGGGTGGGACGAAGCCCAAAGACATCTCAAGAATGGAAAACCCCAACGCTGTCCTTCTAACACCGCGAAGAGTTTCGTGCGTATCCTATGTCTCTTGTTTTTGCAAAACGTCGGAAAAAGAAAGATAGAGTTGACTTGCGGGGTTGGGGTGATAGAACCCTTCGTAGAACCGCGCGCTGGGGCGATACTGCGGAGTGACCAGCCGTTAATGCGATGCGCTTTGAAACTTCTTTACGGGCTGCTTAGTATTGATGATTCACCCCGTGCTGAGAGTGACGATATCACATTCACAGCGAGCCCAGTCCTACACAGTATGCCAAATGTATACATCACCGAGTCCCGACACTCACTTCCGCACACCAGGCTGGATGGAGCGCATGCGCACGAAGAAGAAGAAAAAAAAGACATTAGAATAGTGGCGGGGGTAAAATAACAAATGATACCTCATCAAAGTTCTCCCATCATCCGAATATTGCAGAAGGACACAGAAGCCCCGTCATCTTCTCGCCAGTGTGTCGAACATCGAGCGCTTTGAGGGTTTGGTGGGGGTTCGTGAATTGAGCGGATTCCGGACGTCAGATGAGGAGAAACTGACAATGGAGGTATGGGAATATTCTTCCTCTCTGATCTGATTTGAGTTCACCGAGAAGTAGGCCAAGAAGCTTCGCACGCAGGAGGGGGGGGGCTATGTGAACCTAATTCAACGAATGCGGTGTGCCAAGGCTTTGGCCAAGGTAAGCACCGTTCAGTAGTATACTAGTACACTTACGTTGTCCGTCGCTCATGCCAAGAAACCCCGCGCATGTGACGAAGTTTAAAATCCGAGTTGGTGGAGTGTTGTTAAGCGGTGGGGAAAGGCATCCTCCGGTGCTGACCGCTAGACTCAGGGTCATCATTTAGTTTAATGATAAGATAAGATACTCAATTCCTTCCGAACTTTATCCCCCCCTTTTGCTTGCCGCTAGTGACGTCCTAGTGCGATCCTATATGTTACACCAAAGTGTAAACTGCCAGAGCTCATAAGCGACATGTGACAAAAAGTGATTGTTTGAAGGGCGACTGACGCTGTATGCATGTGCTGCCCCCAGGCAGTGCTCAAGAAACCGTCGTCCAATGTAACCTTTCTGAGTGAAACTCGTCTTTCATGCATGAAGTGACCCACAAAAGGCAGCTTGACATCGGTGACCGGCCTGCTCGCCCTTCGGTTTCTTCACACCCAGATTCTCAAAGCGATGTTCGGACGCGACGACACAAGTCGTGAACGGGTTATGACGCTTTCATTCGGTAACCAAATTTATGTGGCGTTGACCGGGTACTAAGCGAGAGCTCCTTCGGTCAATGGCGTTGGATTCACTTAGTGATACACCAGACTAGTAACATATGGCCACAGACATACCCAGTTCACATGCGAAAACAGCCGCCACAAGAGAAATAATCCGCACAGCGTGCATAGTCCTAGGTCGGAAATCAGTGGGAAGACGTTCGCAAGCCTATCAGCATAAATGAGTCATTATATATACCACGAACATCGGCCCCATCAAACAAACCGGCTATCTGCTAAGAATGAACTTTTTTGAATTTCATATGCCAATAATACCCTTGATGAAATACACGAATAGCCCGAGTCCTTTGTCAGTTATGAATAACATCGTACCGACGAAGTCAGACCCTGATCTGCCGACCACAGAAATAGGTCGCCCCAAGGGCCCGTATGTTAAGAATAACGGTCCGCGCCTCCCCCCCCCCCTGATCGACATCTCATGAAATTAGACTCGGAGCGATAAATAAATTTATCCAACACACGTACCTAAAGTTAGCTTAGACGCCGGAACGAGCGCTTCAGAGAGTCGAAAATGCGAAGGATGATATGAAAGCTGTCGGGTCGGCGGATGATTCCCTTATTGGTGCATCTCGAGCCGTCCGAGACAGGGTTGAGCTATCATATTAGTTTCCGGCATCGGATTTGGAATGTAGGACTTATGCAGATTCTCCTGGGCGGTAAAACATTGTGTCGATTGGGCGAGTTCCTCATAGGGCGGGAATGGACCTAGCTGCACCAGAGCATAGATCATCAAGATCTCAAGAAATAGAACGCCCGTAATTTGTCACAGTCATAAGGGAACAATAAACCATACACACCTCAACCTTGAAATGCCGTACAAGGTCACACAGCGTCAAAAGAATTAAAGCTTTCCACCAGTTAAGGAGTTTCACTTCGCTCTGTATGGTCAAAGGGACTGGCGTCTTTGGAACTTGACGAAGCCTCCGACATTGAATCTAGTCCTAAGCTCGATGATGACGGAACACACACACTGCGGTGGGGGAGGCTGTGTGGTGTCATCAGCCCCAGAGGGATGTGTGAAAGAGCCCAAGATTGTGGGATCACGTTACGATCGCGGAGTTCCGCAGCCAAATGAATTGAAGACTGATGTTATCTTACGATGGAGCCGCGTCCTGAGCACCGCCTTTTGCAATCGACGGGATAGCCGGAATTCAGCTAGGAACAAGCCACTAGGCCCGAAGTTATTCCACAGAGGGGAGGGGAACCTTATCTGGACCCAGGATAAACACGCGGAGGTCTGGTATTCAGTCCTCCCAACTTGCCCACCCTGTCACCGATCAAGGAAGCATCACCCCTCGGAAGTGTCAAACAGAGTAGTGCTGGGTCACAGCTTCATCGCACTATTCAATCGAGGGAAATGGGGACGAATTGAATAGGGACCGAGATGAACCCACAGATCAACAGTGCCGGGTCCGATGAGATGTGGCCTTACGAGAAAGACTGACTAGGCAAGCATTACGCTATTGGGGCTAAGCCATGGTCGCGTCTATACAACATAGAGACGAGGGAAATCACATCACCAAGTCTAGGGAACCTTCCCTCCTACCCAGGGTCTCTTCGCGTGATCTTTCCTGGCCAATAAGACGCTGCCTCGTTGTTCAGACGCGAAGCCCAAATAGGAAAATGTGCTCTCCGTGATGAGCATAGTAGCAGTAGTAGAATGGAATTGCCATGGTTTCCGCCCAGGATTTGGGCGGGATGTTTCGGCCTAAGACTATTGCGATTAATGAGAGTTTAGTCGCCATAGCTTCAGTTCAATAGATAACCAAGCCACAGTTCTTACACGGCTATATGGATACAGGAGTTTGAACACGTTTGTCGAGGTAGAAGTGGAAGACTTGTGGAAGATTTACCGGCCCGGAATAGTCCAGATTTTCCCTTTGATCAGGATCACGTGTATTCCCGATTTTCAAATTGAATTTCGCTTTACCATTGACCACAACTGCGTTCATCGTTCTCAGCAGCCATACTCAGGTAGTTCCAACGAGAAGCTCCCAACTACAAAATATCACGAATTTCGCAAACAAAATCACTATGATAATGTAAATGAGTCCAGTTTTCGTCAGTTCTATGTCCAACTATTAACTTCAGCGTTTTTTAGTGTCTCTGCGAGTTAGGCCGGCTTCACAAAATTTTCCGTTACAGTAATGTATGAATGCGAAAAAGAGATCGTGCGTACGTCCCTTGACCTATGCCTCGAGCCATCTCTATCTATCAAGCTTTCACTTTGTGCTGTTCACCTGACGCACATAAAGGTAAGGCGTCTCGTTATGAAAGTTTTACACGCCGTTCATTTGCCTTTGCAGGCGCATAGAAATCCCTGATACAGAATGTCACCCCCTGAATAATTAGGATGCAGCACCGTGCATTTATT